AAAAATTATAGCATCACAATAGTATGGGTACATCCCAATTCGATTGGCACGTATCAATCTATATTAATATCATTCGTAATTTTTTCTAAAAATTTACCCGGTTTTTCTCCATTGGAGGTTGCGGGAACCAAGCTGGGCCGGACAACCTAGCCGGCCTACTTTTTGCCTGCCGTTGGAGGGTGTTGCCAGGCCTGTATAGTTTTACCCGAGGTGTTAGAACCTGGCCGAGCACGGGCTGCAACCGAGCCAGGGGCAATTTGGACACCCCTATTTCTACCCAATTCCAAACCCTTAGAAATGTCACTTAACTTCTCAAATTTTTGTACAGTCCACAAAACTCGATGATGCTTGCAAGCCTCCCCCCCTAACAACGTAATTGTGACTTTCTGGAACTTTATCAAAGATTCACGATTGTTTTCTCATTCTAAAATCAAGCATTAAGCCCGCACATTGTTGCAGGTATTATTTACCGAGGTATATCTATCGCCAAATTGATAACATGATTTTTATATATACCTATTTTTTAAAACTTTAGAGGTAATTTTTTTTATTATTTATAAAGTGAGTTTTCAAACAAATTAACAAAATAATACACCAATTAGCAAGTTTTATCAATTTTTTATAATAGGGCTAAAGAGACTTATATTTGTGAAATATCTGGTAAAAGTTAAGTTCATCATTTGCAAGAAAGAAAAAGATATGAACACTGTTTTAAAGGTTGAAAAATGTTACTACAACTTGAGCAGTGGATACAGGGCCAAAAAATGTTAGATATTTTGTTAAGAAAAGACAATTTTGCCTTCATGAATAGCAATAAAGTTTTATAATTAAAACATGTTTTAATTAGCAATTAAAAATATGTGTAACGGCCATATAATTATGGGGAACGTTACAAAATTTATGACGAACGTTACGGAATTAATTACGGGTTTTGTAACGTCTTTTCCAACCCTATATATATATCCGTATGTTGAGCTCAAAATGATAAGAAGAAAAATGTGGAAAACTTATCTTGTTTTCTTTTCTCCTCTACATATCATTTTCATCTATACTTTAGTTTTACTTTATGGGCAACTTCTTCATCTGAGCTGAAGCTCTGCACTCTCGCCCGAGTGCAGAGGCCGGGCCGTTTCCGGGGGTTTTTACCGCTAGGGGAGAAGGGATCATCTGCGCCAGGGCGATAGGCGGGTCCTCAATCTTCTAGGGCATTGTTTACACGACTGCTCCCGTCTGGCCTGTTTCTCTAATTTATATTATCTATCTTTGATGTATTATTTATTTAATTTTCGGGTTTAAATTCATGCTATAATCTTTATTTATTTGATAAATTCCCAACAATCTAGAAGATTGAGAGTTTATAGCTTTTGTTTTAAATCTGAAAGTTATAATAAAATAAAATAAATAAAAATAAAAAAGTTACTGTTCATTCGGGAGTTACTGTTCATTAGGGGAATCCTATTCATCCGAATTTCTGTTAATTGTAGTGTTTTTTTTTAAATTACAGCATTTGTTTAATTGCGACAATTAATCAAAAATTTACTGTTTATCATAAAAAATATGAATTACTGTTTACTGAAAATTAATTTGGGATGTCCGTTAGTATTCATTACTGTTTATCGGACAATTATAATAATTAATTGCTAAAATTAATTAGTTAATGTAATTGATTAATTGCTATTAATTATTCTTGACTAGTAATTAATCTAGCTTGCTATGCAACGCTTGTGTCCTATACATGAGGTTTATAAATTAATATGTCAATTGACACCAAATAGTAGACACACCTTGGCTAATTACTTTGAAAGATATAAATGTCCACCATGTCATGATTATGTATCTGATACAAGTGTATTATTATCATTGCCAAGGTTTTTCATGTGGTATGCTGGAACTCATAATGAGCGTGACAAATAACCAACAAGCCTTGCATAGTAATACTTCTGACAGCCACAGTGCTACTCTTACATGCATTGATTGATTGAAAGAAACAATCAGTTACTTGGAAAGATCTTCATATAATATAACTTCAGTTATAGAAAAATACAGACAACTAGATCTCTAATATCATCTTGCAAGCTATGCATCTTTTAATTTTATTTTATATGGTGAATTATATTTTAGATCTTTAAAAGTAAAGATTATCTCTGTGATTAATTGCACATGTTTATTGCTGATTAATTTGAGTTGTTAAATGCTTATTTTCATTAATCCTCTTTAATGTGTAAGCTTTATAGACGGGTTTTGCTCTCACGACATGAAAATCATGAGGTTTGAACATCAATAGGTAAACCCCTCCTCGGCCTTATACATCATATGTTTGCAGTATAGTTGTTAGGCAAATTAAATGCTAACAGGAAATAATTTAAAGTTTCTATATACTGTTAAGAAACAAAAACTCATTGAGTGAACCGATTCAAGTTTTCTTGGATTAGTTGGTGTCTAAGGCAAGGTTTAAGGGTTGCGTAATGCGCTCTGCAAGGAACGAGGTACTTAATTGATCCTTGATCAACCTCTATTACTATCCTTACCTGGCTAACTACCCGGGTAAAACTTTAATCTTTTCACTTTAGGAGTTTTTGGTTTGGAATAAGAGGACCGGAATTATGAGAAATTTAGATAACTTGCATTTTTTACATGATTAATTACAAGGTTTTATGCAAGAATGCACTTGTAAAATTTAAAGCACGTATGTACAAATATTATTATTATTATTATTTGTATAAGAGGTGGTACTAGAAAATGGCAACATAAATTTGGAAGGTCTCCTTTGTAGACAACCAATTTAAATTTGGAAGGTCTCATTTGTAGGCAACCGATTTAAATTTGGACGGTCTCCTTTGTAGGCAACCAATTTGTAACCTCTTATAATAGAAGAATTTTAAAAATTTTATGCATTTGAATTATGAAGTATGAAATATATTTTAAGCTACAAAAATATTTTTTTAAGATACGAAATCCTATTATGCTCTGCATGTATCTATTATTAATTTCATTCATGTATGTGCATATGCATAACTGCAGAATTTTTAGTTCCACATTAGTTTGAAATGTTCAGATATTAAGGTCAATCTCTTCAGACATAGACTATGATCTTTTATGATCATAGATCATGACCTAATGTCAATTTCAAACAATATGATGGACTAATTACAAAATAAGAACTTGATAAATAAATACAACGCCTGCTAGGCAAAGTTATGATTCTAGACTTTGTAAAGTCTGTGAAAAGAATCTTGATGACCCTTTGACTAAGGGATTATCCAGGAGTGTGGTTCTGGATTCATCGAGGGAGATGGGGTTAAGCCCATAGATGAGGTCACTGACAGCGGCAACCCAACCCTTATTTGGAGACGTAGTCCCAATGTCGGTTCAATGTGGTAGAAACAAGCTGGACTAGTGACACTCGTGTGGAGCATCGACCTAGATATATTTATATATCATTATGTAGCATTTGCTACTACCCCTTCTCTATGATGACGATGCTCTTATGATACAGCTGGCTAGGCTGAGTTTTACTCTTAATAAGTCCAACGCGTGTATTGTGGGGGGTATTAAATAAACAGCTGTAGTACCCTTTGAGGACTTACCTACGTGAGAGGAACCGTGATGGCCGCGGTTAGGGGGGGCTGGGCTAACCCCTAGAAACTCTCATGAGTCGGTTTATTGTGAGCATGGCCTTTAACGCTCAACCCGCTTTGCTCAATAGATGAAGCGTATTGTGTGTGTTTTTATCAATACCTGATTCAAGGGGCCTAATTCAAGGCCTAATCCATTATGTCCCTCAGGTGGCGATGAACTCACTAAGGAAAGGTTCAAAGCCGAAAGCTACCTTTCCCGAATTCACGATACGTAAGGTTGCCCAACCTATATTTGTTTTATGATTCTTGATTTATTTATTGATTTCTGAGTTTTCAGTCAATATTGTCTTTTGGGGGGGACTGTTAGATATTTTGTTAAGAAAAGACAATTTTGCCTTCATGAATAGCAATAAAGTTTTATAATTAAAACATGTTTTAATTAGCAATTAAAAATATGTGTAACGGCCATATAATTATGGGGAACGTTACAAAATTTATGACGAACGTTACGGAATTAATTACGGGTTTTGTAACGTCTTTTCCAACCCTATATATATATCCGTATGTTGAGCTCAAAATGATAAGAAGAAAAATGTGGAAAACTTATCTTGTTTTCTTTTCTCCTCTACATATCATTTTCATCTATACTTTAGTTTTACTTTATGGGCAACTTCTTCATCTGAGCTGAAGCTCTGCACTCTCGCCCGAGTGCAGAGGCCGGGCCGTTTCCGGGGGTTTTTACCGCTAGGGGAGAAGGGATCATCTGCGCCAGGGCGATAGGCGGGTCCTCAATCTTCTAGGGCAGTGTTTACACGACTGCTCCCGTCAGGCCTGTTTCTCTAATTTATATTATCTATCTTTGATGTATTATTTATTTAATTTTCGGGTTTAAATTCATGCTATAATCTTTATTTATTTGATAAATTCCCAACAAAAAATTCACTATATCATGTAGAGCATGTTTAAGATTCAAAATTTACACTGTAAATGGACAATGTTTATGGGATCATTACAAGTTTACAACGCAAACAATATGACTAAGGCTAGAAATTTTACTGTTGGATGAATGGCAATTTAAATATTATGAATCATGCTGTAGCAAGAATATTGTTTACGATACAACGAATGTCAATTTTCAGGTTTTGCCTTTTAAGTTAAAAGTAGTAGATAATGTTCAAAGTTGAGAACGTTATGCGTTCTTGAGGGAAGGTCAAACGACGCTTCAAACAATTGGGTGCTTATCTCAAACCGAGCCAATCTTTTTTGGGGGCTTTTGCAAAATTTACCTTTGTGAAAGTAAAATGGGTCAAACGTCACTCAAATCCCATTCTCAGAAAAGCCGTCAATTTATCCATGTCCGCAAAATACAAATCATAAATAAATGCATGCAGAAGTCTGCAATTATTTGCAAGAGAGCTCCATATTAGATGATAATTGGGAAACAAACAATGACATCCATACATTCACACAATTCTTTCATTATGATGTTATTCCTCTACATATCAACAATAACATGCTACAACAAATTCCAAATAAGAGGATTTTTGAACATGAAATCTACACTACTAAGATTAGATTGGTTCACACATCTGGACTCATATGCTACGAACTCTTCAGTAACTGACCCCTCTTTCAAGAATTTGCTGAAATTATTCTGAACTGAAAAAGATCAGCTATGTGTCATTAACATCTTCACTTGCGTGCTGAACAAAATTTTCAGGGGACATATGAATACCATGGCAAGCACAAACGATCCTTAACTCATTCTGACTGTATTTGTAGCCAACACCCGATATCGTCTTTCCATTTGGCCCAGACCCAGTAGTCGAGACCCATGGGAGATCAGGACATGAGCCTGAACCTCCAAACTTTATATCGGGTCCGATGCCTCGTCTGATAGTAGGTCCTTTTGATATAGATTGGTTTGTTTTCTCCTTGTTCTTATCCTCATTTTGAGAAGAAATCGAAGCGATATCTCTGACATCGCTTGTATTGCTTTCGAGCAAATGGGCTGATCTTTCCTCAATATGAGGTGCTTGATTTGGAACTGCATTGGAAATTTTGTAGAAGGCACTCAATTGCTTGTGTAGACAAAAATAATACAGGGTTTTTTGACGAGTAAGTTCTCAAGCATGTTCAGTGTAGGCTATCATTATACAGTGGAAATTATTATTAGGTTAAATTTCAATACTGTCATGAACTTTGGAGTGTTTTGTGTAAAAATATCATAAATCTTTTTCTATTAGAGAAAGCTACCATGAACTTTTTTCACGGATGTACCATGTCTGACAGCAAATATGACATGTTTTAGACAATTTTGCCCTTATGCTTGAAAAATAATAAGCGTGAGTTTAGATATTTTATCCAACAGGTTAATGTTGTTACAACAATTTGCAATAGTTCATGGTATTTTTGCGCAGTTTTGAAAGTTCATGATGGTTTTCTCGAATAAAAAGAAAAAAAAGAAATATGACAGTTTGGTGGAAATCTACCCTACTAGTTATATCATACTCAATAGGCTTTTAATGTAAGATAAAAGGATCTCGTTCATGTAAGTTCACTGGAATCCTAACCTATATAAATGATTCAATCATGAAGGCAAACTTGCTAATACACAAAGAATCAAGTGAAAATTATGGCCAAAGCTAACACTAGTTGGTTTTAAGCATCCACATCCGAACTACTAATTATTATTAAGATATTGAACCAATTAACGGCTAAAACGGAATAAGGAGTAGATAACGAGGGCATTAACAAAAAGAAAGCAGTTAAATATAACGTAGATTATGAAATCACGATGAATAAAAAAGAATTAGAGAGGTTAGAGAAGTGAAATTCACCACTAGATGACTTCGAGGCTTCAGAATTCTCCGTGTTACTAGATTCTCCATCCCTGCTGAGACTAGTTGCAGCATGCCGAGGCTGAGAATTACCTGCCCATGAAGATCCTGCTTCTAGTGTTGGCCGCTGCACAGGAGAATAGCCAACAGAAACATGCAAGTTGTTTGTATTCTGACCCAGAGGACCCTTGTCATTAAACTTAGAAACATCGGAGCCCCTGAATTTATCTTCCTCATGATAAGCCAACCAAGAGTTTGATCCTTGTGCATCATACTCTACAACATCAGTAGCGCTATCTATATTTTCATGCTTGTTTTGAAGATTTCTCCCCTCAAATGGCATTTTACGTTTGTTTGACTGAGATAAATCGTTCTGCAAATCATCGGCATTATCTGTCACCAGAGTAGAGAATTTCCCAAAATCGACACAGAAATTATCATCTTGTTGATAACCTGGAGCGGACTTATGTTTCCCTTTACGATCTTGGTTCTCTGCGCTACCAGTTAGTTTGTTACTACTTGCTTCATCTGGTTCAGGATCTGAAGAGGTGCCTTTGATTTTAGATTTGCTGGATGATCCCCCAAAAGAGAGGCCCAAACTTAGCTCAAGTCCATAATCATCCTCCATTTTCCTGTAGAGCTCCTCAGTTAATGCAGGTGGGTACTTTCTATAAAACACGAGAAGAATCATCAACATTCAAAGTACTCTTTTATATCTCTCTCTCCTACAAGGGACCTAGGGACCTTGATTTATTCTATAGAATGTGGTGTATGACATTTATTCGTCAAGTATTTGATATAACAAACGGTAGATATAACAAACGGTAGCTATGACTTATGAGTATAAAATAAGAGAATGATTCATTAACAATTAAAGGACAAACAAGAACCTACTACATTAAAAATATGTAGGAGAATGAAAATAAGTAGCCAAATGTGAGCATTAGTAATGAACTGATAAGCACACTTCAATCTTGTCTTACGAGTATGAGACCCATTGAAATGTCAGTTGTCAAAGAGACCCATTGAAATGTCAGTTGTCAAATAATTCATATCACCAACGGAAGTGGCTGTTGGGATTGTGTCTTAATTCTTTGTATAACTACATAAGAATTAGATAGGGTTAGAGATCTATCATGATTAGGAGATTGGGTCTCATCATGATTAGGAGTTTGAATCGCTATCTATATTTTCATGCTTGTTTTGAAGATTTCTCCCCTCAAATGGCATTTTACGTTTGTTTGACTGAGATAAATCGTTCTGCAAATCATCGGCATTATCTGTCACCAGAGTAGAGAATTTCCCAAAATCGACACAGAAATTATCATCTTGTTGATAACCTGGAGCGGACTTATGTTTCCCTTTACGATCTTGGTTCTCTGCGCTACCAGTTAGTTTGTTACTACTTGCTTCATCTGGTTCAGGATCTGAAGAGGTGCCTTTGATTTTAGATTTGCTGGATGATCCCCCAAAAGAGAGGCCCAAACTTAGCTCAAGTCCATAATCATCCTCCATTTTCCTGTAGAGCTCCTCAGTTAATGCAGGTGGGTACTTTCTATAAAACACGAGAAGAATCATCAACATTCAAAGTACTCTTTTATATCTCTCTCTCCTACAAGGGACCTAGGGACCTTGATTTATTCTATAGAATGTGGTGTATGACATTTATTCGTCAAGTATTTGATATAACAAACGGTAGATATAACAAACGGTAGCTATGACTTATGAGTATAAAATAAGAGAATGATTCATTAACAATTAAAGGACAAACAAGAACCTACTACATTAAAAATATGTAGGAGAATGAAAATAAGTAGCCAAATGTGAGCATTAGTAATGAACTGATAAGCACACTTCAATCTTGTCTTACGAGTATGAGACCCATTGAAATGTCAGTTGTCAAAGAGACCCATTGAAATGTCAGTTGTCAAATAATTCATATCACCAACGGAAGTGGCTGTTGGGATTGTGTCTTAATTCTTTGTATAACTACATAAGAATTAGATAGGGTTAGAGATCTATCATGATTAGGAGATTGGGTCTCATCATGATTAGGAGTTTGAATCCAATTCTAATTAGAAAATTAGAGTAGAGATAGAGTTTTGGTTTCTCTATATATATATTCTTCTATTGTTGGAGGAAAAACCAAGCAGATGAGAGAGAACCAACATTCTTGTAATCTAGGGTTAGCAGATGACGTAACATGATTCAAGAATATTGTGCGGGAAGCGAGGGTTTCGTAGTCTTTGCCCGTGCAAAAGATTGCATCATTGAAAGAGGGTTTCGTAGTCTTTGTCTGTTCAAAAGATTATAAGGAGAGAGCTTTGGAGATAACATGAGAGTTGATAATGTATGTGAGGTTGAGAGATTGAGAGACGAGAGTTGAGTGGTTTCTCTTGTAGTTCTCCCTAATGCATTGTGAATTTCTCGTAGTGTTTCCCTGTGGATATAGGTCGAAATTGGTCGACCGAACCACATAAATCTCGGTGTTCTTTCTTCTTGATCGTGGTTAGTTTATATCATATTGATTGTGGATTGGCTTCCAAATTGCGCAAATCGTAGTAAGCGGGGAGACTAAAATTCTCCAATAGTGGCACCATAACCAAGTAATGAATATAAATTAACGATCCAATAGTTCAGCCGCGTATTTTCTTGGACCGCATAATTAGCCTTAGTGAGACGTTTTTCTTCTTCCTCTACATCGAGCCGCCGAGGGTGTTTTGTCGAAAACTTCGTGCTCCCCTAGGCGGCCTCGACACTAGATTCAACATTGACACACTGTCCCATCATTCACACCATCCGCCCATAGAAAACCTAGCCGTACTGTTCATCCAAGGGTTACTGTTCATCATGGTACTGTTCATCAAGGTGTTGTTTGACACGCGTTGCTGTTCATCCAGACCAGGCTTTCCTGGAAATCAAGGGGCTGTTCGTTTGGCAAAAAAAACCTGGAAATCAAAAAATAGGAAACCTATTTCCTATTATAATGGTTTTGAAGTTGTTTGGTTGGCTTAAAAAAGAAGGAAATTATAGAATAGGAGATGAGATGAGATGAGTTGTCACCTTATTATTGGATGATGTGAGTGATTTTTTAAAAAAACTTGTTTTGAGGTTGTTTGGTTGGTTAAAAAAATAAGGAAATGAATTGGAGGTATATTATTGGATGATGTTTTGAGGTTGTTTGTGTTTGGTTCGTTTTTAAAAATAAGAAAATAGATGAGATGAGATGAGTTGGAGGTCTATTATTGGATGATGTGACACGTACTTAAAGAAATTGATTTCTTGTTTTTTTTTTGAGGAAATGGATGGAAAGGAATGTTTAATGAGATGAGATGAGTTGTCACAATATTATTGGATGATGTGTGTGATTTTTAAAAATGAGATAAAATGAGATGTGATGAGTTGGATGATGTGACACATTTCTTGTGTTTGGTTTATTTTTAAAGGTAAGAAAGGAGATGAAATGAGATGAGTTGGAAGATAAAAATAATATTTTATTAGATGTTGTGGGTGAGTTTAGGGATGGAAATGGGTAAAAATATTACTCGTCGTTGTCTATCAGCTTCAACCAGGTCGGACCCCCTGCTGGTCGTCGTCCTTGCTCCTTGACCCTCGTTGTCATCGCAAACCCTCGTGATTTCATCTGCACTCGTGATCGCCAGGCCGCCGCCCTCTCCGACCAGGTTGGAGTTTCTCGTTGTCAACCCCACCCTACCCTTGTCATCGTCGTCACGGCGCTAGCCACCATTGTCAAGCCCTGCTCAACGTCACCCCCCTTCTTGACGTTGACCTCTCTCCATTGCCAGCGTCGCCTCATCGAGATCCGATCTCGTCGTCAATCAAGGTTGTTGCATCGTTGAGATCTAATCTCGCTGATCGTGCCCTCGTTCGATCTCGCTACCTCGAGATATTGTTCGCCGCTGCTTTCGCCATCCGCTGACCCCACCTCTTTGAAAATTCACACACTCCACCTGTTTGACAGATTTCCCAACTAGATTTGTTGTCTAGACCTCGTCGATCCCTGCCCACATCTCGTCTAATCAGCGTTGCTTCCGCAATTAGCCCTCATCGAGATCCAATCTCGACAACCACAAGTCCGATTAGAACCCTCGTCATTTGCGCTGCCCGTGAGCCGGCTACCAGTCCTTGTCGAGATCCGATCTCGACAACTTCCTGTCAACTAGCGCTCTTGAGATCCGCTACTCGAGATCTCTCCTCTAGCGACCACCATGTGTGACCATCGATCACCGCTGCAACAACATGATAGCGCCGCCCGGAATTCCAGCCATTGATGTGCTCCAATTCAATCACCTTTTGATTAGCCATGCCAACAACCATCTATGCAAATTTGGTTTATCTTATCCAAACTCTCGGTTTTCTTGAGATCTTATCCAAACTCTTCTCTTGCTTTTGTATATAAACAACTCAATGCAATGAATAATGTAGTCCCTTTTTCTTCCTAAAAGCTCAATTCTTATCAAATAGATAGTTAAAAGTCTTTTAGATAAGATCAACACAAGGTTTGTCAACAGCAGCTCTTTGAACCATCAAAAGAAATTTGTGGCTGAAAACTAATATAGTCAAATTATTTCTTTTTCCTGTTCTACCAAAAAAAAAATAGTCAAATATTTCTTTATAAGTGCACTGCCAAGATTGAGACTTTGGTCTATGCAGTCTCTCTCACAAATAGAATTAAAAAAAAAAATCAAATAGCCAACCGATGAATTGTGAAAAATAGGGGCCAAGTTAACCATGCCAACTTCCAAGACTATTTCAGGGCAGACGGGTAGGGTATCTACTGCTTTCAGTTTCAAACCAGTTATTAATACTGAAACCTAGGACTCATCGAGAAATAAATGTAATATACTTCTCATGAATGAATAAACAAAAGTACAGCAGCTACGTTGTCTAGCTTATTTAAACTTTAATAAATATGTAACTAAGAAGCATCTGTTGCACAGAAAAGTAAGAAACATCAACTAAAAGCACACGCGCATACACCAAATGAAGCTAAAATTATAAACAGCCACTCTATAAATTTGCGCATTGAATCTAATTATGAGCAATAAATTTCTATGAGTAGCAAAACAAATATATTTGGGTTTTCCTGAACTGGGAATAATTGAAATCTCTTCTCACTAGTTCTACACATGATCTCTTTTCCTACCCATCAAGCCAAACGCAAGATTTTCTTTTAAAAAAGAGAAGAGATGAACAAAAGTTTCCAAACCCATATCAAAATCCTATAAAGTTAAGCAGGGAAAAGGAAACCCATATGGAGAAAATCAGATTTTGAGAAAGAAAATTATGAAATTTTTTTATCCAGATTAATACCTGTATATATTCCACCTCAGATACCCACGTAGCAAATCCACATATTTTGCTGTTTCTCCGAAAAATAGTCGCAGAGATGTTTGAATGAACACACAGGCCACGGCTGCGTGTGAGATGAAGATGGAGAGAGGAGCGACCTCAGATGAATTAAAAAGGGAGCTGCTCCAAAGGATATATTATTATTTATTCAGGCTAATTGTACAGACACCCTGTATTAATTTGGATTCATTACAAATAGACCCCTTAATTTCGCACTGAGGCATGAACTTTCGGGAACTTTTATATTGGGTTAATTGCAAATATATCCCCTTAGTATCGTTGATTAAAATTTACTATATCTGTTTTATTGTCGTGAGAGATCCCAATGGGGGTTATTGGTTGGGACAAATTGGAGCTAAGTGGGATAATTGTTCTAATAGAATAATTTTATCCCTTTAGGATATTGAATGATGAAAATTAAGACAATTTAGGATAATCAGACAATTTGAAACATTGATTTGACTATTCATGTGGAATAATCGATAATATGGCACCTTATTAAAGTATAATATTTATCCATCAATTAAGTCTAAATTAATTTACCTAAATAGTTAGCATATTATTTGGTATGTTATTATAATATAATACATTATTTTACTTTATACTAAACTATAATATATTATATAATAATTACTAATTAATTATAACTATATTTAATGTTATTAATTAATTTAGTTTAATATATTATAATAATATGATATATTATATAATAATTGATATAATATACAAACAATATATTCAATATAATATTTCAATAATATAATATTTAAGTAAATATTATAATATTTTGTTTAATTTAATATAATATTATTTAAAATATTATATTATTATTAAAAATTAATATTTTATTTTATTTTATGATAATTACTATAATTTAAATAGAATAATTGATGACATGGCTCCTTATTAAAATATAATATTTATAATAACTATATTATAATACAATATTTTATATCATAAAATACTATAATAATATTTTTATTCTAACTAATAAAATATATACTAAATAATATAAAATAATATTATAATAATATAATACTAATATTATAATATATGAAATATTATTAGTCAATATCTAATAATGATATATAATAATTTTATATTAGATAATATTATATAATATTTTATTATCTTACGTTATAAAAGAATTTTATAATATAATATAACTAAAATATATTATATATTATAATACAATTATTATATATTAGATATTTAGTAAATTAGTGCTTCAAAATTATCCTACTTTCCTCATAATTGTCCCAAAGTTAAGAATGTGGTAATCTTCTGATACATGTGTATATTCTCTACCTCGGGAGCTTAGCGATCCTCATGGAAGCTTGAGGATAGATGATTCTCATGATAGCTTGAGAATAGAAGCGTGAGCTAGTACAACTGGCGAAACACAGATTGGAAAACACAGAAAAGACCTCTTATCGGTCGATTGATGACTTGTGTCGGTCGACCGATGATAATCCTGGAGTTCGGGATGAGTTTCTGCTCAGTCGACTGATAAGAGGATCGGTCGATCGATAAGAACCCTGAGTTGTGGAAGACTTCGTGCTTGGTCGACTACTATGAGGAACAATCGATTGTTAAAGTTGTGCACGTTCGCGATCAGTCGACCGACAGGATAGATTGGCCGACTGATAACTAGGACGGTTGACAGTTGGTTTTCCTAATCTGTTTTGATTTAGGGTTTGATATAAATAGGAGGCGTTTGAGAGGTGTTTTCCAGGAGGGAGAGAATAGATAGATTGTTCTTTATTCTAGAGAGAATGTGAGTAAAGAGAGATTTGTAATCTATTGTTCTTCATAATCTAGAGAATGTATTTTTCCTTCGTCATATTGAATTGTTCTGGAGTTTTGCTATTTTTCTTCACGAAGACATCTTTGATAATTCCGCAATCAAAGGTGCTCGTACGACGACTTGTATCATTTTCGGAGGTTGTGACAAAAAGTTTGTAGAAGTGAGATAATTTTAAAAAATGTGGGGTTAATTGTCCAAATCTCATTGTCCCAATGAATAATACTTTAAAGTGAAGTCCCAATCCTATTGTCCTAATGAATACCAGCATAAAGTAAAGTCCAAAAAATTATCTCACTTACCCTAAAATTACCCCAACCAATAACACCAACCAATAACCCCCAAGTGAAACTACTTTTACCCTTTTACTCTTAGGAGTCTCGTTGTCACAAACATTTTTAATCTTTCTCTGAGGGTAAAAAATCAACAAAATTTCACTAGAGGGGGCACGACTATGTTCAGTCCAAGTTCAGTGTTGGTTCATAAATATCAAAATTAAAAGGTAACAAATAACACTGTGATTATACAGGAGTTTTATGTCCGTGTAACCCTCTTGTTTTAGTGTTCAGGGTTATTTGCAGTTTGATGCTTTAAACTTCCCTCTGACTTTGATATATTTAAAGTTTTTATGTGACATTTGTTGGGGAATTTAGTTTCCCCGCCTACTGCTCTCTGACTTTGATATTTTTAAAGTTTTTATGTGACATTTGTTGGGGAATTTAGCTTCCCCGCCTACTGCGATCTGCGCAACTCAAAAACCAATCACAATCAACAAGATATAAAATAACCACAATCAAAAAGAAAGAACACTAAGATTTACGTGGTTCGGTCGACCAACTTCGACCTACGTTCACGGGACAACAATACGAGAAATCCACTATGTATCAGGGAGAACTACAAGAGGAATCACTCAACTCTCGTCTCTCAATCTCTCAACCTCACATACATAATTAACTCTCATATTTTCTCCAAAGCCCTCTCGTTACAATCTTTGAACGGACAAAGATTGTGAAACCCTCTCCAAATGATGTAATCTTTTGTACAGACAAAGACTACGAAACTCTCGCCTCTCGCATAATATTCTTGAATCAGGCTACGCCCTCTGCTAACCTTAGATTATAAGAATATTGGTTCTCTCTCATCTGCTTGGTTTTTCCTTCGACAATAGAAGAATATATATAGGAAAACCAAAACCTTATTTCTAGCATAACTTCCTAATTAGAATAGGATTCAAAGTCCTAATCACGATGAGACTCAATCTCCTAATCATGATAGATATCTAACCATATCTAATTCTCATTAAGTTATACAAAGAATTAAAGACACAATACTAATAATCTCCATCTTAGATTTGATTCGCAAACTCCCTTGAAGATATATCTGAAGAGATAAGCTCAGGATTCAGATTGTCAGGGTGGCGGTCGACCGGCCCGGTCGACCGCATTCGTGCACAAGGCTTCCTGTGCGTCTGGAAGGAAATCGGTCGACCGGTGCGGTCGACCGACGGTTTTCTGGAGTTTGGGTTTTCTACTGAGAGCTGGTCGGTCGACCGGGCCGGTCGACCGGAATTGATCGCGGTCGACCGGTCCGGTCGACCGACGAGGTTTTTGACCCGTTTCGTTTTGGATTTGTATAAATACCCTTTGGGTGTTTTTTAGGGTTAAGAGCAAGGACGAATTTGAGCAGATTGAGAGAGTTTTCTTTGGGCTTCTATTCTAGGAGCAATTGGAGAGATTGAGAGTTGATTGTTGAGGGTTTATGAGAGATTTGTAACCCTAGTTTGTTCCTCTTGATTTCTAATAGTGAAAACTCCCCCCTCCTTGCCCCGTGGACGTAGGCATCTTGCCGAACCACGTAAAACTGGTGTTTGGTTGTTTGTGCTGTTGATTTTGGTTGGTTGTTTATCTTTCTTGGCGATTGTTTTGGTTTCTCGAGGCACAACAATTGGTATCAGAGCTCCGGGCTACGCTTGGGCTATTTTGGAGGAGTAGATCGCTTTGGAAGTTCATCTAGGGCTTCGTTTGGTGATAAAGGTGGGATCTTTTCAGTAAAAATCTGTCTTTTTTCAATTTGGATCTATTTCTCGTTTGTTTCCGCATTGGTTTGGTGGTGCTTTGAGATATATGGCTGAAAAAGATAAAAGTGGGGAGGGTTCTTCTGGTGTGAAGGCCGTCCAAAGTTTGAATATACATTCTATGAAAATAGATGTGGAAAAGTTCAACGGCACAAATAATTTTGGACTTTGGCGATGCGAAGTCATGGATGCGCTAAATGCGCAAAATTTGGAAGATACATTGGAGTTGGACGGAAAACCGGCCGACGTTGATGAAAAGGTTTGGAATAAGATGAATAGAACGGCGTGTGGTGTGATTAGGTCTTGCCTTACCCAAGACCTTAAATATGATGTGATGAATGAAACTTCGGCAAAGAAGATTTGGGAGGTCCTAGAGGGCAAATATTTGACGAAGAGCATCGAAAATCGTTTGCATTTGAAGAGGAGGCTTTATCGCTTCCAATTGAAGAAGGGGACATCCATTAGTGATCACATGAACCACTACACGAAGCTACTTGCAGATTTGGCGAATGTAGATGTCAAGGTTGAAGACGAGGACAAGGCATTGTTGTTATTGAGTTCCTTGCCCGACGAGGAATATGAGACCTTCGTCCTCACTCTTATTAATGGAAAGGCATCACTTTCATATAGTGAGGTCACCGCAGCCCTTGTGAATTATCAACTTCGAAAGAAGGACAAGGAGACTTCCATCGAGCCGGTTGCTGGTGCATTGGTTGCAAGAGCTAGAAGTCCAAACCATGGAAGAAGGTCGCAGTCTAGAGTGGGGCATCCTGCAGTTGGTAGGAATCAGTGTGCCTTTTGTAGAGAGGATGGACATTGGAAAGCCGAATGCCCAAAATTGCAAGCTGTGAAGAATAAAGGGAAAACTATTCAAGCTTCAGAGGTGAATATTGCCAAGGCTAGTGGCGATGTTTCAGATTCAGATTCAGATTCTTCGGGCTATTCGTGCCCAGCTCTTCCGTCAGTTGATGTTGCCGACTCCACCGAGTGGATGTTGGATTCTGGTGCTACTTACCACATATGCCCTAGAAGGGATTGGTTCTCCAGCTTTCAGGAGTTGGAAAGAGGGGATGCTGTTCTCATGGGTAATGATCACAGATGCCCTATTGGTGGTATTGGTACCGTTCGGATTCGGATGAGTGACGGGATGATCCGGGAGTTGGCTGATGTGAGGTTCGTTCCTCAACTGAGGAAGAACATCA